GTCTCTTTCTGGAATCTCTCTTCTGCCTCACTGGTTCACTGGTCTGTTCTTGCACTAGTCCCATTCTTTTAAAAATAACATTAATTTTGTTTTGTAGTATGTCCTAATATCCAGTAGAGCAAGGAGCTTATTTCTTGCATCACCGCGGCCCTATTTTTCTGACTGTTTGCATCACCATGCAGGAAATGCATCAACTCTCCCCACCCTTGAAAGAAGCTATTTACAGGTATCTGTCACCTCCTGGTTCTGGTGCTAGCTCCATGTTGGAAAAAACACATCCTCATCCAGGAAAAGAAAGTCAAGATTGCCCAGGAAAATGTGTGCAATGTCTGGGCTCAGCTTTCAGTTTCTAGAAACTTCATTTCTCACACCCATCCCCTCTGTATCAATGTATAGAAAATCAATTAGTCCAGACAACCAAGATTTTATTCTCCCTATTCCAAGCCCCGATGTTGAAAGTGCGCACTTAGAGCACTTCAGAAAGTCATCAAGAGTGTGAGCTGTGTTTTGCTTCTTAATTCCATCTTTATCCAGAAGCTTTTATTCTCATGGTGCATGTGGTTCGTCCACTTCCAGGCACCCACATTCTAGGTGAGAAGAGAGAACGTCTGAACATTCATTCTTCTCTCCTTTTCCTCAGCAAAACAAAACCTTCCCAGGAACACCCAGCCAGTGGGTTTCAGCTTACATCTTACTGCTTGGAACTAGATCATACGTATCCAGGTCACATGCCAACGTGGGCAATAGTTGGGCTTCACCGGTAATTCAGGAGGGAGAATGAAGAGTGCATCTCAGCTGCACCCAGCTTGCCCTGTGTCAAATCAGGCAAGTTAGCAAAACACCAACCTCTGCCTCTTGGGTTATGCATTTCCCTTCTGAGCTCCTGTCCACCCTCAAGCCTGGACCTGACCAGGAATGTATCCAGTCTCCATCATTAGCAGGAATCAGCATCAGGATCACACTTGCACCATTAGTAGGTAGAGACCAAATACACTACTTCTCCTAAACTCTTTTCACTACAGTTTTAGCGAATATTACACCAGCCCATTACCTTTACAACTCACTGTTAAAGAAACTAGAAACTACCCAAATGCCTACTCATAGTAAAAATGGATAAATAAATTGGAGTACATTATGTATACAGTGGTATACTGTGCAGCAATGGGAGTGAAATGTTTACAACCACAAACAAAATCTGCATGAACCACATAACCACAATATTATACATAATCTGTAATATTGAGCAAAAGAAGCCAAACACAAAATAATACAGTACACTGTATGATTTTTGTTTATATAAACTTATTATATTTCTATAAATGTATGTAAATAAATTTGTATTTATTTACATGTAGTTTATAAACAGGCAAAACTAATTTATGGTGATAGAAGTTGTGAAAGTCGCTACATTTCGGCTCGGCACCTGTGGCTCAAGCGGCTAAGGCGCCAGCCACGTACACCTAAGGTGGCGGGTTCGAATCCCCAGCCCGGACTCGCCAAACAACAATGACGGCTGGCAACCAAAAAAAAAAAAAAAAAAATAGCTGGGCGTTGTGGCGGGCGCCTGTGGTCCCAGCTACTTGGGAGGTGGAGGCAGGAGACTCGCTTGAGCCCAGGAGTTGGAGGTTGCTGTGAGCTGTAATGCCACGGCACTCTGCCCAGGGGGATAGCTTGAGGCTCCGTCTCAAAAAAAAAAAGAAAGTCGCTACATTTGGAGTAGGTAGTGGCTGCAAGGGGGACCCTACCAGGTCTATCTGAGTGCTGGTTACACGGGTGTGTTCTGTTTTGAGAAAATTCTTTGGAGTTTGTGATACTTATGTGCACAATTCTGTATTCTTATCATCCTTCAATAAAAAGTTAGTTTAAAATACGAAAGTGCACTTAGGCAGGCACCACTGATTGTTCCTCTCTCTCTCTCCTTTGATGAGAGACTCCTGGTTTTAGTCACAGAGCAGCCCTACATGTTGTACAGGAGGTTCCGGGCTCAATCTCAGAAGAATAATCCTGATTGGTTCAAATCAACAAGGTTAATCTCACCCTCATTTGTGACTGGCTTAGAAAAGGAAATGTGACCCCATTCTGGCTGGTAAGAACAAACGAGATTCTGCTGGAGGCTTTTCTGGAAAATATCATTTTTTAATTTTTATAAATATTTTTTTCTATTTTTATTTTTATTTATTTTCTTTGAGACAGCGTCTCACTTTGTCACCCTGGGTAAAGGGCCATGGCGTCCTAGTTCACAGTAACCTCAAACTCCTCGGGCTCAGCTCAGCCTCCCAAGTAACTGAGACTACAGGCGCCCACCACAACGTCAGGCTATTTTTAGAGATGGTCTCACTCTTGCTCAGGCTGGTCTATAACTTGTGAGCTCAAGCAATCCACCTGCCTCGGGCACCCAGAGTGCTAGGATTATAGGTGTGAGCCACGGCGCCCAGCGTATCATTCCTTTTAAAAGACAGACCTGCTCCAGTCATTGATCTTGAGATGAAGACTCCAAATGAGAACCAAGAGAAGCGAGAAAGGGAACACAAGCCCTGATGGCCTGTGCCTGCAGCTCCTCTGACTTGGATTTCTTGGCATGTGAAGTTAGAACTTTACTGGCTAAAGTTTACTAAAACTTTAGTCTTGACCTTCTCTTACTTGGTTCCAAAAGCAGCATAACTAGGAGCATCATCTTGGAAAATGTGCTCAAGATTGCTCCTTAACTAGGATTTTGTTCTTATCTAGATTTAAAAAAAATATTCCACATTTGGCTCCACGCCTGTGGCTCAAGTGGCTAAGGCGCCAGCCACATACACCTAAGCTGGCAGGTTTGAAAGCAGCCCGGGCCCGCCAAACAACAATGATGGCTGCAACCAAAAAAT